AAAAATGGTCCCCAACCTTTTCAAAATTATCAAACTCAATCCTAGGGTTAGTAATTTTTGTTAATTTTCAAAAGAAAATCTTAGCTAGAATTTTGGAAAGTCTAATAGAAATTTTAACATAATATTCTTTTAATTCTCATTGTCTTACAATTATTTTTACTAAATTTCGGATTCTTTACCCACCTTAGCTCTTCTTTTTTGAAAAATATTTGTGAATTTTTTTTTTTACTTTACAAATAAGGGTTTATGTTTATTTTATAGGCTGAAATCTTATAATTTGAGATGGATTTTCATTTATATTTTTTGATGTATTTTATAAAATAGTAATTTGGATGATAAATAATTTACAATTGAAAAACATTTGGGTTATAAAATTTATTATATTGTTAAACTATTAAATCATGCCAAAAGTTTCTAGAATTAAAGTAGGGACTTTGCATTAAGTAAAAGGCAAATTTAAAAAAAAAAAAAAAAAAGTGCATGGTTTAGCAGCAATGTTAAAGAAAATGAAACATATGTTTGGGTTGAAAAAAAAATGTTTTAGAGGTTTTTATTTATTATTTAAGGGTTTTGGTGTCCTTACGAAAACTCTAATTAGGAGTTTTTTTATGAATTTTTAATGGAAATGACCAACAGTAGGATTAGATTTGGTAATTTTAAAAACATTTAAGGTCATTTCTAGTCTAAATAAAAGATTAGGATAATATCTAGTATTTATGATAAAAGTTAGGATTAAATATGATATTTACCTTTTTTTAATATAAAATTATAATAAATCATATTAAATTTATATTACATGGAGAGTATCTAAAAAAGAGTGTTAAGAGGAAGTGTCCTTAGCATCTTTTAACTAGGGTAGTTGGTAGCTATTTCCTCAACAACAATTGATATTATTGTAGTATTATATGATATTGTAAACTTACAATATATATCTCTATATAATTAGTTATCTTTACTCATAGTCCACCTATAACATTATATATATTTATTAATTTAATAACACATCACCTTTATTGATCAACACATTATAATTATAAAATTACAATTTTACATAATATTATAACTACAAAATTACCTCAACTTGAAAGAGATTTTTTTCTTTTTGAAATAAGGCAATTACATTGCATGTAATTTTTTTTTTAATCAACAATTATAGTGCATATATTTGGGGTAGTGGGATTGGGAGGAGCCCAGATGGTTCGATCTAAGAACTTGGGGGTGATCGACCCAACAAGTGGAGTGGCGTGGCTTGTAATTTGCCA